GTTGAGACAAAGACCATATGGCCCACAAAGCCAAATTATTTACTCTCTGGTCCTTTACAGGAAAAGTTTGCCAACCTCTGATCTGGAAGAACTCTCAGGAAAGGATTTGAAGCTTACTCACAATAAGGAATAAATCATTCACCAGTGAAATCTCCTAAAATATATATTTTAAGTGTAGTAGGTAAGACAAAGCATCAAATTTAACAACAACAACAACAATAAAACAAGGGGAAAAGATAATATTCATAATACTAGCTGTATATCATGTGCCAAGTTCTCAGCTAAACATGTCTTTAAATAAAATATTATCTCTTTTTTTTTTCAAAGCTGCAAGACAGCCATCACTTTTCTCATTTTATAGATGAGGAACCTAAAATTCAGAGGCTGGATAATTTTACCCCGGATCACAAAGCCAACACAAGACAAAGCCAACATTTGAACCCACAGTAGTACAGCTTCAAAACCACATCCTTAACTTTAGAATTTCAAACAAAAACGAGCAAATAATGTTGGACATGCACACAGCGGAGAGGGGAAGTGGCATCTGCCTACCGTCCTTGAAATTGCAGTTTCTCCAGGGTAGGAAGATGGAGAAAAGTGAAACAGTGAAGCTTGGTACGGGTTTTCATGGAAGTGCATCTCCTTCCCCAGCATAAGGAGGCTATCATGGCGGAAGAGGAGGTAGGGCTGATTGAGCAACCCTGGGCGGTTCTATTTAAGTATTACAGCTGCAAATCATCCCACTGAAGTTGGCCCTGGGACACGAAAGAGAACGCCAAAGAAGAGGAGCACGTGAGGGTTTTATTAACCCAGAAAGTGCCAACTTCATTGCTGGCTAATGAGGGTTGGAGTTTCTGGGAAGAGGATGAAAGATCTAAGAAAAGTTGCCAGAGGATGAAACAACAACAACAACAACAACAACTAGAAACCACATACTACTACATACACCCCAAGGGATGCAGCAACAGTTGAACAGAGATGATCATTGTTAAAGCAAATATAAAGAAACCATAGATTGGATACGAGTTGGAAGGTTTACTTTTATGCAGGGAATCGGATCCAGTATAGAGTCTAGGCTCTGGGGGATGGAGTTTGGGAGAGGAAACGTGGGTCATTAAAGCCAAACACTTGTGGAACTCTCGTTTGGGAAACCGCATTTCTGCATGTTGCTGGTTGAGTAGTGACATGCAAACCCTTTGCTTAGGTAGGACTGGGCTGGCTACAGGAGACTCGCTGTGAGTGTGGGGCCCACCCCAGACGATGGCATCCAGCTGCCTCTGCTTCATAGGCAGGTGCCTGAGTTGGCTGTGTGGCTGGGGCAGGGTCTTCCCAGGAATCTTATCTGCTCTGCACATTGCATCACTCTATTTCTAAGGCACAGGTGAGGAAATGGGGGCTTAGAAAAGTCCAGTGACTTGACTAACCCACGGAGAAACTTGATTGGAGCCCCCCATGTACACACACAATTTTGGTTTGCGGAGCATATGTACTTCCCATTACTCTGTCTAAATCTAAGTGCTTTTGACTCAGCTGTCAAGTAATGGCTCTCTTTAAAAATTTATTGCAGTCCACATAGAAACTAACTGAGAAACTAACTACAAACAATCTGCTCTCACACTTGTGGTAGTATGTGGTGATGACAAAATTTTAACAATAATGGAAACTTTACACAGAGGATCAATATTTCCCCAAATCTGTTAGTGTCTGTTGGATTCATATTTGTGACCCCGTGGCCCAGTGAGAAAATGTTCCATGTTTAGATAAGTTTGTGAGACGCTTCGTTACATAATTGTAAACAGGTTTATTTACCATAGGGTTTCTTGGAACTTTTAATATGCCTTCATATGTTGTGCATATCTAAAAGGCAAATGTAGCAAGCAGTGTTCCCAAAAGTATTTGACTATGAAGTGCTTCCCCCTCACACATATATCTTCATGGTACGCTCCTGGGAAACATTTGGAAAAACACTTGGGCTAAATATACACTGAAATTCCAGCAAGACTAACATAGTTTTTCTGTAGTTCATCCTGTTTAGAGGAGATTGCAAAAATCTCCTTATGACAGGAGTTTTGTAGATGAGACCCCAACACCTGTCATATTGAGAGAGAAAACAGATTTTCATGCTCTGGCCATTCTATACTTCACCAAAGTCGTTATATTTAAGTGAAAACTTGAAGCAGATTAAATCGAAACCATAATGTATTCATCAAGGGAAATTAGACATAGTGAACACTCAGTGCATCGAGGGGAGCAATGAAGATTAGGAAGCTGTGAAAACATCTGCCAAAACTATGTGTCTGAAGAGCGATTTCTCATGTTTTCAACTTCCTTGAAAAGCTTAGATTCTCTTTTCCAAGCACAGACTTGTTACCACATTCATCATTCCATCGAGTACCTGGTCAAGGTCCTCACCCACCTGTGTTCTCTGCAAATACTGAGCTCCCTGATCCAAGAGCAAAATGAAAGGAGCTACAGGGTCAGGGGGGGCCCGGGTGGTGTCATGACAACAGACAGCTTCTGCCTCCAAGGTCAACTTTTGGTAATAGGAATGAAGTTCCTTCTGTGAATCCATAACCTGCCCATATAATCCTGTGCCCATTTTGGTCCTAGGACTTCTGAAACTCTTCCTGGGCCAGCATCTCATTGTCTATTTTTAGGCCGTATCACTCTTCCCAAAAGTCTTAGCTCTCCTCTATACTTTCACATCATCAACTTTCAATATCAAGTTTATTTCAGTGATCTTTTCCCAAACCACCTCTTATTTTTGCTTGTTTTACCCACTATCACAGTTCATTGATTCCTTCCTGTTCATTGTCTCACATTTAGAATATCAATATTTATGAACTACCTCTGCCTTTGGTCATCATCTGATAGAAGCCGTCCTTACCTGAAAGTCTTCTCCGTTTTCCAATTATTTCTGACACACTTGTGGAATTTTCTAATTCTCATTTCAGATTTTATCTATCTAGATAAAATTCCCCAACATCTGAAGGCTGACATCCTGCAAATGTGGTATGAGTGAAGATTTTTAATGTATAAAACATGTCTGTAATAAGTTGATTACTATTATAAGCAGTTTAGTTGGGCAATTGAAGGCCCAACCTGTGAGGCAGTGTGTCAGGGAATAAAGAGTTTGTTAGTTGTGACCCTGGACAAGTAACTGATCTTTCTGTGCCTCGTTTTCCCCACCTACAAACTGGGGAAGACATACTACCTACCTCATTTGATTATTACAAGGATTAATTGAATTAACATATATAAATGGCTTATAACAGCACCTAGGACATAGTAAATGCCATATAATTATTAGCTATTATTATTTCCACCATTTAAAATAACAAAAGCATCTCAGAATGAAGTGCAGAGATTTTTTTTTAAGTATGTTTTTTCTGTATTTTTCAGGCCCAGATTATAAAAAGGATTATCTACCTAAAATTTATCAGCACGTGGCTTATGTAGGCGAAAAGCGTCCAGCACTGGAAAAAGCTGGAGATCTCAGATATTTATGGAGGCCTGCCTCAAACAGAAGCTTTCCAATGAAATATAGACACGAGTATGCTGGTGAAATTGGTTGGGGAATACCAGAGCATAATTTTATCAACAAAACAAGGCTTGAGACTGGCTTTCACATTAAGGTAATGCTCTAAATTTATGTTCGTCATAGCATACTTTCTTTTTATTTGAATTCTGCCTGAGTTTGCTTCCATAGGAAGCATCCTGCTCTTGGTCTGTCATGGAGAAGTAATGGGATTTGAGTTTTGCAGAAAAGTGAATGTGTGAATCAATGTACTTGCTACCATCCTCCTCGGTTAGGCCCCTTAATACATGAGAGGAGAGGAGTGAAGAAAATGAAGCCGTGGGTAATCCAAAAGCACTGGTGTTTGGCTTGTGGATACTCTCAGATTCACATTTATGCTGTGACATTCACACACTTCCCATCCCAACACCACCTTATGAGTGGGTGGTGTAAAGGAAGCGGTGCTGGACAGCATCCATCCACACTGCTCACGAATGAGCCCCGATCGCCAAAATCCACAGTGTCGATAAAGCCTTTGAATCAGGTAATCCAGAGGGCTCTTAGAAACCTTGTCTTATCGCTCTCCCTTGGTGATGTGAATGCCAGCACAAGCCCGTGTAGTCTCCTGTGAAACAGAAGACAGACAGGTGATTTTAGAAGTAAAATCTCAGAATTCAGACTTTTCACAGGTAAGCTTTGCATTATCTGAAAATAGAACATGTATCAATTATGCAATAACTGGATTTCCTCAAATTCTTAAGGCAATATAGTACAGCCTCATACGGTAAAGGTTTTTTTTTAAAAAAAGCCATTCTCTAGCCCAGTCTGCACAGCAGTACAGGAAAGTGGTTGGCAGCTTAGTCTTGGACATTTCTGAAGACCTGGGTTCAAATCCTGACCTGAGGTTGGTCTGGCTCCGTGACCTTGGGCTGGTGAGCTCACCCTTCTGCGTTTCTGCTCTCTCCTCTGCCACCTGACCTTGCTTAGAGTGTTCACTTCACAAAAATCTCTGAATTCTTATCCTAGTTCTGTCCTCTACAAACTGTGAGTAACCTCAGGCAAGTTCCTTAACCTCTGTGTTTCAGTCTCTTCGTTGTGGATCTTAGTATTTACTCGATCTGGCTGTTGTAAACATTTAGACAAGTTAATATCTGCCAAGTGCTGGGAACCGTGTTTGGCACGTAAGCGGCCCTCTACGTGTTTAATATTATCATTGTGGGGATGGAATTGAGAATATGAGAATGCACTAAGCATGGCACGTCGCATGGGGCTGGCATCTGCATCTCAGCTCTTGGAGCTGTGGTTGTCGCAGTTGATGTTGTTACTCAGTGCCCGTTAAACAAAACAAACACTGAGGTTCTGAAACTGCACCCTCCGCCACTTAGGCCACAAAGATGAAGATCACAAATGTGCTTCCATATCTGACCTGGAATGTTCTGTATTTTGATTGGTGGGATGATAACGGGCACAGTCATTTATCAAACTCAGCAAAGTGTACATTTAAAATGGCTATAGTTTTGTGCATGTAAATTATACCTTAATAAAAATGCAAATTATGTTACAGAATATAGGGACCACAAAATATTGTCAAATTGGTTAAAGCACATAGCTGTTTAAAATTCGTCCCTGGGAGAAATAAATTTACTTGAGTCAAAATAAAAAGAAAAGAAAAGAAATTCGATTAAATATCAAAACTGGCCACAAGCAAAGAGAGTACGGCCCTAAAGGAAGGCAGCTGGTTTGAAGAGAATCCAGAACTTTCGTTGCCTTACTGCTTCTCTTTGGGCAAGGCCCGGCTTTGGCACGCGGCCCTCAATCTGTCTGCCCATCTTGAGTGTGTATTGCTTCTCTTCCTTCTTCGTCTTTAACTTAAGAACACATTTGTCTGCTCAGATGAAGTTCAGTCCAGCACTCCTTGCCCTTGGAAGCAAGCTGAGAATCCAAAATAGATGTCCGCCATGACTTAGCCTTCCAGGAAGGTATTCCGTTTTTGTTTGTTTGTTTGTTTGTTTTCCATTTGTATTTCACAGGCGACTTTAAGTCACTGCTCTGCTTGGCAGCACTGTCCTCTGGGACTGAGTGTGAGCCGTATGATGATTTTTCTCCGCCAGCTCGTGGCACACTCAGAAGCTGATCTGGTTTGACGCAAACAATAAGGGTTATTGCTTCTCATCTGTGCAGTTTCTTGGCCCCAGCATTTTGACAGTAATTGTTTTCACGGATTTACCTGTCTCAGGTAACAATCTTAAGCAATAGCTTAAAGGGTTCCTTGGCCTTAGAACTTTATAATGACAGCAAAGAGATTCACTGAGAATGACTATACATATTAACAGAGAATCAGATATAGCTTTTCCATCAGTTAAAGCCTACGCTTTGTCATCGAGGCTGCTGATCTTCCCCTCTGCACCCAAAACAGATGGCAATGTTAGTTTTTGAGTCTAGCCTCAGACTTGGATTCCTTATCAATCCAGTGCTTCCGGCAGCCACTTCCAATCAATAAGACTTGGCGTGAATTGACATTTGAGCTGATACATACACACATGTTCTATGCATAAAAACAAGCACCTAATTACAAATGATATATGAGAGTCTGTGATGTAACATAGGGAAATGTCTAAATCCACTTCCTTTTCTTTGGTGCCTTGTTATTGGTGGACCTCTATCACATCGCTCTGTCGCCCTCATCCACACCAGTCCCAGTCAAGCTGGCACTTTGTTTCATTCTAACTTCAGAGGCTCCTCAGTGTCTCTGACTGAGTTCCTCCTTTTAAGCAAAAACCTTCATCCAGTGGGTTTTTATAGCCTGAACAGCTGCTCTTCCTAATTTCCCGCTCCTGGTTTGTACAGGCTGGCAGCTAAGGGAGCTCAGGCACCTTTAGTAGCCTCTTGGTAAAAGGCTTGGGGCAGCTGCTTCCTACCTGGGAATGGTCTCTGCTGTTTGGGGCTCTGGAGTGGGGGTGGGAGGGTTCTGCAGAGCATCTGGATTTTGGTAGGAAGATAACTTCCAGGCTGAGTGACTCGTGAAAAATTTCCCCACATCGCAGAGGTCAGTAAAAATCACAATATTGGGTTTCTCTGCTGGATCTTTTTCTGTTTAGCTATTTCCTACTCACTCGTATGTGGATTACAATGCTATAATAATACACGTGGATATAAGCCAGTAAAGATCACTGCTTTTGTGATTACCTTAGATTTAAGAGCAGTACATTCTTCTCCTTTTTTTTTTTTTTTTTATTGGCTTTGGTTTCTGCCAAACTGTATGTGTTTTTTTTTTTTGGAAGAATACGTGGGGACCATTAAAACAATTCCTTTGGTTTTAACCTCATGCTAAACTGAGGACAATTCTGACTGCTTCTTAGCTCAGCTTGTCTCCTCTCCTCTGGCCTTTCTTTAATTCAAACTTCAACAGTATCAGCTGGCTTCCTGGTGCCTATCTTCTGCTCCTGCACTATGACCTTGTGACCAAATTATTTAAGTCATTGATTCCCTCTCGAAACAATGTTATACTGGACTTGATGACTAACTCTTCATAGGTGTGGTCCCAAAGACAATGTTAAGTAAATTAATCATAATATATATTACAACCAGTATATCATACAGTATAACAGCTTGAAAAATCTGCAGACGGTAATAAGGAGAACTGTGGGAACCCACGAAAAGATTTATACATGGTACAGTATAAGAAAATAAAAAGTAAAATCTTCAAGGCTTTAAAATTTCTGCTTCATTTTTAACTGCCACAAATTCCATAGTTATGAAATACAAAGGGCTTCTTTGTGGTGGTTTTATGGACATTTGAATAGATGAGTTCCTTGATGGCTGTTGAATAAACCCATCCTAGGTTGATTGTTACATTAGACATTTTTCTCAGTGTGATTTATTCAGAGAAAGTAAACATAAAAAGATACCACTGAATGAGTATTTACTATGTGAGGAAAGTACTGTGATTATTTCCATTTTACAGATGAAGAAACTGAGCTATTGATAGGTGAAGTTCCTTGCCTGAGACCACACAGCTAGTAAAGGACAGAGCCAGAATTTCAATCCAGGCGGTAAATTCAAGGACTAGGTGGGGAGTACAGTGTATATGAGACGAAATGATGAAAAAGGAAGTCAGAACATTAGACTGAAGCCACTGTGTAATGTGTATGTTTTTGTTATTTTTCTTTAAGGCAAGGTCTGGCAGGGTCACTTCCGATTGCCTTCCTTTATAAGGTACTGTATGCATCCTTTCTTTGTGGTTCTCTGCTTCCTCCCAGCTTACCGTTCTGCATTATTTGCATACAATATGCTTCATTTATAATATTAAAATGAATTATTAGTAGATATAACCCACATACTTGATAGAATAAGATGTAGCTCAGTAATAGTTATTTTCAATTTTTTTACTTAGTGAGTACTTTAATAGTGTTTCATAATATATCATCAAACACAATCTTTGGCATTATGGAAAAAATAGACAAGACAGTGAGGTTCTATCAAACCACATCTTCTTTCCTATACCAGCCTGACTCTGTTCATTCTTCCAAACTGTCCATCCTCACAAACAATGTCCAGGAAATTTGTAAAATTCCCCTGGGAAAAAGAACTATTGCCAGTGTGGAGTTGATCACTATGTTGACCGCCAATGACACATTTCAGAATTTCTGGGTGTCTTTCACTGCAAATTTCTCATTTACCTTTGGATTCATTTGGACGAATCATAGTCACCAAGGTTGGGTCTCACATTCTTAATCTACAGATGTTATAATCAATAAAGAAGGTTTTTAAAAGATAAGAAAGCTTCTTTTTTTCAACCAAGTTATACAAGTAAAATAGAAAAATAGCTTTTCTAAAATTAGGCACATCTTTGGATTGTTGCTTTTCCTTCCCAGATGGGCGTGTGTGCAGTTCTCACTTTATGCTTCTTAGAGTTATTTGCATCCTAACGGGTTATGGTTTAATATAAAAATAATGACATTAGTACCTTTCATCCTGAAGTGCTATATAAAGCAATGCATTTTCTGATAGTGCGGTGAGCTTTCAGTAAGGGACTGTCACATGCTGACCATCTGTCAGGGAGGAGAAACGTTGGCTAAAGAGGCCAAATAACCATCTTTTTTTTTCTTGAAAATAATA